TAGCCCGCCTCGCTCTGTTTGCCTCCCCCTGAAACGAAGCTGCCATTTAGCGAGTTTCAGGCGTCAGGCTATTTACTCACATGAGATAATGACTTTGCACAGGTCTCTGCTCCCCCGCACCGGACTTGTTATACACTTTCAGGAGACAGGCCTGTTAATTAACTTTAATTGCAATCCTTTGGCCTCCACCTGCCGGGAACCCAACACCATACATACAGGGGATCTGTCCACTGTGAGTTTACCAGATTGATTTTTCTCGTTTAATTTGGGAGACTGATCTGTGGGGAGAATGGGTGTCTGTCATTCTGCAAAGTAAGTTTTACTTTATTTTCATTTTGGCTTGTTTCCTTAAACACTTCCCGCACTTGCTTGGGGCAACTCAGAGGGATTTTGTTTTGATTTGGAGGAAGGTTTGTGAAATTATGCTGTGATCCTGTGAACCTTTGATAGTTTAGAAGAAAATATACAAGAGAATGATAAGCTTTGGGACTCCACATATTTCAGGCTGTTGCAAGTTGGTGATAGCAACATTTTTAAACAAGCTCGCCCTTGAAGTTTAGCTGCACAGTGGGATTTATCTTTTTGGTTAAAAAAATGTATTGAAAAATAAGCTATTTTTAAAAGTACATTTAATCGGATGCCCTTGTTATTACCAATAATAGTATTGTACTTACAAGCTCAGTATTGATTTTCCTCCTCACTTAAGCACTCTATACCCGCAGGAGTTTATGGAACGTTGCCCATAAGTAATTGGGAGATGAAGTTATGGGTATTTTAAAAAAGAAGCTAGCTTTTTTTAAAGGGAAAAAGGAAATATCTCAACTCTTATTTGTGAACTTTCATGTGCGTAGAACAGAAATATTGAGGCATTCCTCTGTTGAACAGTATTATTTTCTTAAATAAGTGGGTCAGGGAACTAGCCTGGAACTCAAAGTGAAAATACATCCCCCAGTTCCTTTCCCGATATAGAAACAGACACACACACACACACACACACACACACACACACACACACACA